TGAAAGATACGCATGACAATCGCAGCTTCTGTCGAATCGCGATCTCGATTCCATTTCGATTTATCGTGCAGCCCTACTCAAAAGTGAATTTTGACATTACTGAGGGAACCCACGGCTTAAATGTTTTAGGACTAAAACTTAACAGAATTATTGTTTCATATTTGCTAATAAAATCTTATTAAATGCTCTGATTAATTTTCAGGGGAACAATCTAGAAAACCCCTCAGGATTGATGTTTAGAGATGGGAAGAAGCGCATTGACTATATATTAGTCTATAAGAAATCCAGCCCTCAGGTGGAGAAGAGGTGCACGTTTGAGAGGAACCTGCGGGCGGAAGGGCTAATGCTGGAGAAGGAGGTACAGAACAAAATCTTTCACTAGATGACAGTGGTATTTTAAAGGTAATTTGTTTGGATTGATTCTTTTGCCATTAAAGTCCCCATGAAATCAAAATGAAAGTTTTTTGGGTGTTAGTATCAATATGTTAGTCTTAAGGTTATCTATAATAACGCTGCGTGTTTCTAAGCATTTCAGGGGACCTTTAAGGAAAGATCACAGAATAGAATGATCAGGGTTATTTTGGCAGCTTTTGAGTGCTAGCAGAAAACAGACACTAGCTCTGTTCCAAAGTGAGCTGACTTGCTGTCTGCTGTCTACAGGCCGCTTCCTTCTAATGCATCCTGTCTGAAATGAAACCTCAGAAGTAAAACTCTTCATAGACAACTCTGCACAGCACTCAAATAGCACTTCTAATGTGATGGAAAGTCAGGAACCTTCACTCACATTTGATTCAGATAGAGTCTGATGTTAGCATGCTACTATGCTAGCTACTTAATATTCTACTAAATGTAAATGTAATATAATATAAGTATTCTCATCTGAAACAAGTAGAGGTTTGGACCCAGAAACAGTATTTGATATGTCACAACTTATGCAGATAAGTTTTAGAACCGACCTAATGTCAGTTAAGAGTCAAAAACTTAAGGAGTCTGCATTATTTAATTTTATGTGTCTTATGTGGTTTTCTTAGGTAACTCTTAATGTTCTATATTGGTAGCTGAACACCTGAACTCTACTTTATCAAACCTACTTTTCTTCTCCCAGATCTGTCATACCATTTTTATACTGTAGCACTCCAGCATTAATCATACTAGTTTTTACCTATAGGCTACAGCTCTTTTGGAGGTGTGTTTGTAATGTCGAAATATACAGTACAATAAGTTTAACCTTTTCCCAAGCTTGGTAACAACATCAGCTTTTCTTAGTTCTGCTACTTTACACAGATCCAAATAAGTTTTGACACTTAAAAAAAATGACCAAAACTGTTTTTCGATATAGGGTATCAATGAAATGAGATGCTTAACCAACGGATGTCAAACTAAATAGCACATGCTTTTATTTGTTGGTTTATTCATTTATCAAGTTTATATTATATTTACGTTGATGTACTCTCATTAAAAAGGCTCAAAACGTTGTTCCCACTAGTTACACTTGAATGAATAACGAGTGGTTGTAGACTGAATTATCATTTAGTAGGGGCTAGCTTAGAACCATATGTGGATTTTTAATTAGAATCATATTTTAGTCATATTTCTAATACATAATATAATACAAATTTAATTCCTGCTATGTAGAATGAGCCCAAATGAGATAATTCCTAGGGATCTTGCATCTGAATTTAATAGGAGAAATCATGTTGTAACCGGGTTGTACACAAAACAAGCTACTGTCAGTCCTGTGTTCCCGTGTCTTGTGTTTTTCTCCCCATGTTCTCCCCATGACCTAGTTTCTCCCTCATGTCTGATTATGTTCATTAGTTCCAGATGTGTCTTGTTATTTCCGTGATTAGTCCCATAATTTAAGCCCTGTGTGTTTCCATGTCCAGCGTCCGGTATTGTTCGTCGACCCCTCGTTCTACCTGTGTGTTCCTGCCTGTTCCATGTGCTCCTGTATTTGGATGAATAAAGAGTGTTGAATGTTAATCCCCTTCGTCTCCTCGTCTCCTCCACAGTACACAGATCGTGATAGCTACTTTTCATATGATGCTAATTTTATTTTATCTTTAATATTTTAGATCACAAATTGAGTAGTTCTCATTCTAAATAACATGAGGTCAGACTTCTAGGAGAACGATAGCTTGTAACTCGGAACACTTGCTTGCTTAAATGATTATTAATTTTTAATTATAATTGTATTACTTTTTTCTGTTTATTGCTAAAAAATCTGAAATGTATTTAGACATTTAGAGTTGTAAAAATGACAAAGCTCATAAAATGAACAAACATTTTATTTCATATAAGTTTTACTTATATGATTATTTTTGAAAACTGTCTGCTCAAAAACTTCAGTTCCCAATATTATAAAACCAATGCATCTAATTGATTATATGTCTGTTATATGCCAATATTGACTTGTTTTTCCACTTTGACAGCCCTCATTAACAAACAGTGATATCCTGTTTGTGAAGATTCATGCGCCGTGGGACACGCTGTGTAAATATGCTGAGCAGATGAACATTAGAATGCCCTTCAGGTAGAGATTACTGTCACCATACTGTACTACACTTCATACTGTACTGCACGTGAATGCATTGTGACCATGTGATTTATATTTTTATAGGAAAAAGTGTTACTTCACAGATTGGAAGAAAAAAACTATGGGCGGGTAGGATATTACAGAGTTCTTACTGTTCTGTATTTACACATATTTGGCTGATATTTAATGATTTCATTTTATTTGCATTAAAGTCAAAAGCTTCTTCAGTACCTCAATTTTGTTCATTTTCTTCAAATTAAATTTGAGTCAGACTTTAGCTGTGGGGAATAAATATCTTATAGAGTTAATTAGCCCGATATTTGTTGTAAGTCTCAGGGGACGAAATCACCTCTGAGTTAATCAAGCTTGATTTAAATTACATCAGAAAAGAATTCAATTTTAGAAGTGACTGTGCGTTTGAAATGCAGAAAGTACCATTAATAACTCTGCTCTGTCATTTTTTAGTCTGCTCGTTGGAGATAATATCTTACTTTTGAGAAATGCTAATGCAAACGTATGTCTACAGTCGATTTCAGTTGAGATTTCGTCAGCTGAAGAGCTGGCTGCCCAGAAACCCCATGAAACTGGATAAAGAGGCATTACCAGACCTGGAGGAAACCGACTGCTACACCGCCCCCTTCAGCAGGGCCAGAATGCACCAGTACGTCCCTCATCCATGACCTTGCTATAACCAAATCTCATATCTTCTCAGAAAAACTCATATACTTTATGAATATAGAAAAAAAGTCAATGGCACCTTTTGCTTTCTGTGAATATGATACTGCAATTAAATAGCCATGGTCTCATATACGTTTCAGCCATGGTTTGCTAACTGAAGCTGAAACCACAATCCCGCAACCTTCATCCACTCATGAGCTCAAGGGACTTATAGTGTCCACCACAGATTTGAGCCTCAGCTGACCCTTTTAGAACAGATTTTATGATCTGGCACTTTCAGACCACGTACTTGATGTACTTGAACCTGATGACTATTTGTGAATGTTTGAGTTATTGGTTGCTGACATCCACTTTACAGATCAGAGATCAGTGGAAATGCATGACCTGACAAAGAACTGTGTCCTGGGGCAGTACAGTTAGTTTTTGTTAAGTGGGTGCTGTTAGTAAGGCTTTATTTGAGGCCGGCCAGAGGTTTTGAATGCACAGAAATGTTGGAAGAGGGCAAGTAAGGTTTAACCTGACAAACAACTTGAAACACTTGAAACATCCGATCTGTGCTTAAGTTTTACTTGTGAGTTTTAAAATTCTCAGAAGGGAATGAGGCAAGTCCAAATGATGATGTTATGGGGAATGCCTTTGTGTGACTGCATTTAAAACACGTATACAGCTACTCCAATCTTGATTGGTGCAGCATCACTCGTGACGTGTGACGGCAAAAAAGCTATATAGTATTCCTGCAACCAGTGATGGGGGTAATGCATTACAAGTTACGCAAGTTACTGAGCATAATCAGATTAGTAACTAGTAAAGTAATGCATTACTTTTAAATTTACAAGAAAAGTTACTTTTTTTAAATAAATAACTCCACTCAGGTGACAAAAAATAATGCAAAAGTAACAAAACGCATTGCTTTCCAAAGTAATGCAATTAGTTACTTTTTGTGGAGTAACACAATATTGTAATGCATTAATTTGAGCAACTTTCCCCAACACTGCCCACAGAAAAGCAAGCTTCTGATAGGCTAAAGCAAGTCGCTCTCAGGCATGCAGTAGGTATTGCAAGAGGACACAGCATCTAGTTACCTTCTCAGGGAACTATTGTTACAGTCATAACCCGAGGCGTTCCCTTTTGAGGGAACTTGCACTGTGTCCAAATTATAACGCTATGAGGAACAAAATGCAGAGACAGAATATATGGGTTCGAAGAGTGCCAGAGACAAACCCTCTAAAACCACGGCCAGATCCCAGGCCGGGACCACAGACCTTCAATCAAGCGACCATCCAGGATCGCTCACCAGTCTGCGAAGGAAGTTGGGAGCAGAGCATTCTGAGCAGCAGCTGTTCACAGTGTGCATGCCCCCCCTCGAGACCCGACCATGCATGCTCCGCTCCCAAGCAGCTAACACACATATCTGTGATTTAGCGTGGGCAGAGTGGCACACACGATCTAAACTGCTCATCACTTGCCTTTTCCATTGTACACTTTCTGTACTTTTTTTTTCTTTTTGCACTTTTACAACAACACCAAAAAGGACAGTTTGACACAGAACACTTGCTGAACAGCTTTGCTTTGTTCCATCTGTGTTATATAGCTTCTGCGGAATGCAATCACATGTCACAGGTGCCGCATTAGGATTGGAGTAGTTGCACACATGCTTCAGACGCAGTCACGAAGATGTGTCATCATTTGGGCACAGCATGAGTTCCCTTGAAAGGGAACTTATTTGTTGTGTAATATAAAAAAATATTTAAATTAAGCATTTACTGTAGTTTTTCAGAACTGCCGTTAATTTATGAATTAAAGTGCCACAATTATATATTTGAAATATTCATAATTTGGTTTCGGGAGTCCCCAACAACAGGTTCACTTGCATGCAAGGACAAAAAACACTTTCATTTTCTTATAATATGGATTTAATTGTACATTATTTCTCAACAACTCAAATAATTTGTTTGAAGATTCATATTTCCAAACCCCTCCTTTGCACTTTCAGCTTTACAACTTTGCAAACTGTTGACATTTACATACAGCTACGTTACACACTGCATGAAAGGTAATTTTCAAAAATCTAAATTTACTAATTTTCAAAAACATAATTTTCAAAAATAATTAGGGCACTTTAATTTACTTAATTTGTTAACATAGAGTTAAAATTAAAATAAAAAAATTTAAAATTACATTGCATTTGTTTTTAATATGTTAAATAACAGATTGTATTAAAGTAATGGCAATCTAATTAGAATCATCTCATCTCATGAAAACAGTGTCACAGTGCAAAATATATTCTACAGGCAAATTCTATAAGGAAAATTGTAATTCTTTTGATTTTGAGGTGAAATATGACCTGAGCATGTTCTTGAAAGGTTCTGTGAGATTAATTTCATCCAGGAAGGAAGCCCATCTTTAATGTATGAATATGTCTGTATGCTGAGACAGCTGTAAGCCACAACATCTGCTCTGAGCTTTATGTGTTGGGTCAGCTGTGATCCTCTCTAATTTAATATTTACACTGACATACTAAAGCTATGAGTACTGATCTCTAGGCTGCTGTGGTGTATTTATATTTACTGTATTCAGTTTAATTCATGCTTTAATACATGCAACTTACAACAAATTTGTGTATTAAAACAATGTACTTTGTTTTCTTGAAGTTTTACCATCAACAACAGAGAGACGTTTTTCTCAAACTCAACCAGAAGCAGGATAGTACATCATGTACTGCAGCGCACAAAGTACGAGGACGGGAAGTCTAAGATGGGTAAGAAGATGGCTAAACCCCTCCAAACATCTTCATCAAACGTGTCACACACACTCCTTTCTTACTCCGCAGTCACTACGATTTATCTTTATCATATAATGGTTATTATCATAACAGTTATTACGATAATAGTAATGGTTATTAAGACGTTTACAAAATTGGTTGAATCTAAAAATATCCAGGTCACACATGACCCCAAAATCAAATGTTTCAGGTGTTTAAATGTTTATTAAAAAATATTTTGGTTAATTGAAATAAAGCTGGATAAAATATTAATATTAGATGGCAAAAACACAAACTTAAAAGAAAAAAAAAACATTTGAGAAATGTTAATTTAGAGCTGAAATAAATAAAATTAAACACAAAAATGACAGAAAATGAAAATAAAATTAAAGCTATATAGAAAAAGCAAATAACAAAATTAATAAAACAAACTAAAACTACTATTCAAACTACTATTTTAATGTCACACTCATGCCCTTCTTATTTGGCTTTCTTGTCTGCCTGCTCTTGTGGTTTTCTGCTGATTAAAGCTGGCCTTGCAATTGTTCATGTTAATAAATTAATACCAGTGACCGCCCACTCACTCAGACCAGATCAGATTGGGAGAAGAACTCTAAATCCCCCATAAATCCCTGCGCTCAATCGTGCCACTGCAGCTCAGCTCAATGTCCTGCTAATGAACTCAAAGCATCTGCAGAAAATGAGACATAGTTTATAAACCTGGCTATTAAACTGTGAGTTTTTATCAAATAGCTCTTCGGTAACAGTCAATAATGCATCTTTGGTAGTCGACCCGAGGCTCTCAAGCCTTGTTTGGTTCTTTAAAGGAATTTTCTGGGTTAAATAGTAGCTGTGTTTGTGGCATAATGTCACAGAAAATAACTAACACTTGTCCCTCAGTGTGTATTTACGTAAAATTTGCATTGAAAGTAACCTTTTTCTGTGTAAATCCCAATCCAGGCTCATTGGAAATATGTGACTCTGCCTCTACTTGCCTCGACATTTCTGCAAAACCTGAAATATGTTGCTCTGGGTACATTTTGCTGCACTTTTCAGGTGACACGTAAACAAGAAACACTATAAGCCATATCTTTTTTTTTCTCCATTGCAGATGCAGATTTACTAAACAACCCAGTTTTGTGAAAACAAACAAACAAATAAAAAAATTAAAAAATGTGCCTATGTGTACAAAATGGTTGCAAAATGACATTTTAGTGTTTGTAGCACGTAGCATGTTTCACAGCAAGTTTTAAAGTGAAGTGTCTATTTCACCTGGAAACTGCAGTGAGATTTATATATACTGTAGGTACTTTTTGCATTTTTGCAGAAATGTGGGCAGTCATGTATTTCCAATTTCTATTTTTTTTGTGTGTGTGTGATGCCTCATTTTCCTAGAAAATTAGAACAAAAAAAATGTAGAAACTTTTTAAACTTTAACTTTTACATTTAAAAATAATTTGCATGTGACCTGTATTTGTAATTTGTCTGCCATAAAAAAAAAAAATATATATTTATATTATATTCAAGCAAGGCTTGACGTTTCTGCAACACCGATATTCCGTACGTTAGTGCAAGTTTCGCGTCAAGCTTTGAAGTAAATTGTCCAGTGAGTGGCGCTAAAATGCGTGTTCAAATACGTGACTGTGGCTGTGTTTTTAGTACATTGGTACAGGGACGTATTGCTAATTTGATTACGTTGCTTCAGATACAGTACATATTGCAGCGTGTGTCACTAAAAGCTTAATGCTCTATTGTGTTGCAAATACCCCCTACACCAAACCCAACCCTAAACCTACCCGATAGTGTTAACGAATGCAAATGTGATATAAAAACGCATTCACTAATGCAACCATGCTTTAACTTCTTTCTATGCGGGTTTGAGCTGTTTTGTTGAACCATACTGTAGTTTCACAGGATTTGTACCGGAGCTCTTCACTGCACAACTGCAACACTGTATCGCTTAAGCTACCGGACAAACCTACTGTTATAGAAAACCCATACATATGAAGCTGTATACGTGACGCTAATGATCAAAAGTATCCGTTTTCAAATCTCAAATTGTTTTGAAGTTATAACATAACATTGTGCAAGGAATTGTGCGAAAATTAGGCTTTCTTAATCTAAACTCTGGCCCTGTAAATCATACTTTGTGTGGAAAGGAATAAAAGTTGTGAGAGTTTTATTGCCTCTAGTGCCTTTCAACTGGAAACTGCAGCAATTCCTATGTATAGGTACGTGTGTGCAGAAATGTAGGCACATATTTCCAGTGAGCCTGGGTAGTTTGATACAGTATAGCCTACTTATTATGAACATAGATATTGGTACATTGTAATTACATTTAAAGTACTTGCATTTAACTGATATTTAGTTACACTGCCCTTAACCCAAAACTCTAACCCTTAATCCTAAACCTAACCATACGTCAATCTCAATATGAGTTTTCTAGAACAACATTTAGTTACACAGTAAAGTCATAGTCTAGTAGATTAATGTTAGTACATAGTAGTTAAGGCCACCTAATATAAAGTGTGACCTCTTCTTCTTATATTAAAAATGAAAGTTATACAGGTTTGAAATGACATGAGGATGAATAAATGATTTTTGGTAGCACTTTATTTAAAGTACCAATCCTCACTATTACTGTAACTAGCATGCTGCCTCTAGTGCCTTTCAACTGGAAACTGCAGCAATTCCTATGTATAGGTACGTGTGTGCAGAAATGCAGGTAGAGGCACATATTTCCAGTGAGCCTGGGTAGTTTGATACAGTATAGCCTACTTATTATGAACATAGATATTGGTACATTGTAATTACATTTAAAGTACTTGCATTTAACTGATATTTAGTTACACTGCCCTTAACCCAAAACTCTAACCCTTAATCCTAAACCTAACCATACGTCAATCTCAATATGAGTTTTCTAGAACAACATTTAGTTACACAGTAAAGTCATAGTCTAGTAGATTAATGTTAGTACATAGTAGTTAAGGCCACCTAATATAAAGTGTGACCTCTTCTTCTTATATTAAAAATGAAAGTTATACAGGTTTGAAATGACATGAGGATGAATAAATGATTTTTGGTAGCACTTTATTTAAAGTACCAATCCTCACTATTACTGTAACTAGCATGCATATAACTAGCATATTGGCTGTTTATTAGTACTTATAAAGCACGTTAATGCCTTATTCTACATGATCATATTTTAGATCCCCTAATCCTACTCCATACCTAAACTCAACAACTAACTTACTAACTATTTATAACCAGCAAATTGGGAGTTTATTTAGGCAGAAGTCATAGTTAATAGTTATTTAATTGTGAGAATTGGACCTTAAAATAAAATGTGGCTATTTATTTATTTTTTGGGTGAACTGTCCCATTAAACCAAGCACAGCTGTTTATTTCAGACTTCTGAAGATCAACAGCAACTGAAAGTTGAAAAGCTTATGAATATTTCAACCAAAGATGAACAGTCTGTCATCATTTTCTCACTCACATGTTTTCCAAATGAAGTCGCTCTTTTCCATGCACCATGCAAAGAATGGGAACTGAAGCTTTTACAAAGAACAAAACCTTTAAAAAAAAAGAGACAGATATAACTAGCATATTGGCTGTTTATTAGTACTTATAAAGCATGTTAATGCCTTATTCTACGTGATCATATTTTAGATCCCCTAATCCTACTCCATACCTAAACTCAACAGCTAACTTACTAACTATTTATAACCAGCAAATTGGGAGTTTATTTAGGCAGAAGTCATAGTTAATAGTTATTTAATTGTGAGAATTGGACCTTAAAATAAAATGTGGCTATTTATTTATTTTTTGGGTGAACTGTCCCATTAAACCAAGCACAGCTGTTTATTTCAGACTTCTGAAGATCAACAGCAACTGAAAGTTGAAAAGCTTATGAATATTTCAACCAAAGATGAACAGTCTGTCATCATTTTCTCACTCACATGTTTTCCAAATGAAGTCGCTCTTTTCCATGCACCATGCAAAGAATGGGAACTGAAGCTTTTACAAAGAACAAAACCTTTAAAAAAAAAAGAGACACAAACCCCCATGAAAATATAAAAAAATTGGTTAATTTAACTTGCCTATGCTATTTTTCACATTTCAAAATGATTAAATCAAGAACACTTCTACTCTGCAAAGAGACAAATAAACTTTTTACACAGTTGGCATAAATATAAAATTACATCACTGCCTGTCTCCATTATAAAAGTGAAATAATATGGGTTTGGAACAACATAGTAAATGATGATAGAATTTTGGAGGAATGTTTACTGTGTTACTGAGGCCTGATTTGTTAACGTGTTTGTAGCTACACTAACCAATGGCACTCGAGCCCGCCAAAAAGTGCAGAGCTGACTGCTATTTAAGTCGGCCTGGAGTGCCATCTAATCAGACTCTTCTCCTTCAGCGACGAGACCATCTCTTTGCTGACTCTGCAATCACGGAGCTGAGCAACCGGGTTTGAGTGATCCCACGCTGGCACAGGTCCCGAGTGCTCACTCTCCCCGCAGCACTTTGATCCGCCAGTGTGTTTACATGTAAGGATCAGCGCCCCTCATTACTTCAAGCAGCTCAATTCTTCTAGGCAGATCGGAGTAGAATGCTGTCACCGAGGTTACTCGCTCCACTTCGCTTGCAGGCCACCTCAGAGGTATTATTCAAACTTCTGTACAGGACAACAAACCTCACCTGAAGCTTTTACAAAGAACAAAACCTTTAAAAAAAAAGAGACAGAAACCCCCATGAAAATATAAAAAATGTGGTTAATTTAACTTGCCTATGCTATTTTTCACATTTCAAAATGATTAAATCAAGAACACTTCTACTCTGCAAAGAGACAAATAAACTTTTTACACAGTTGGCATAAATATAAAATTACATCACTGCCTGTCTCCATTATAAAAGTGAAATAATATGGGTTTGGAACAACATAGTAAATGATGATAGAATTTTGGAGGAATGTTTACTGTGTTACT